TCTTGCTCTTTCTCTTCTCCTTCTGGCATCCCCATGATTTGCATGTTCATACATTTGAAGTTGTCCTAGAGGCTCCTTAGCCTAACCTTGTTTTTTTAGATATTTTTTTCTTCTTGCTGTTCTGATTGACTGTTCTTTTTCTTACTTACGTTCGAAATCATTAATTTGATCCTTGGCTTCATCCACACTACTGTTGTTGACAGGTAAACTTTATTTTACTTAGTATAACCTCCATTTCTGCCTGGGTCTTTTTTTTATGCTGTTGAAGTACCCAGTGAGTTCCTTGAGCATCCTAATAACTACTGTTTTGAACTCTGCATTTGGTAGAGTGTTTACCTTAGTTTTGTTTAGTTCTTTTTCTGGAGTTTTGTTCTGTTCTTTCATTTGGGCCATATTTCTTTGTCTCTTCATTTTGGCAGCCTCCTTGTGTTTGTTTCTATGTACTAGGTAAAGCTGGTTTGACTCCCTGTCTTAGTAGCATGGCCTATAGTAGAAAAGCACACTGGTAAGTTGGATGGGACAGAGCCTTAGGTAGTCGCCAGAGCAGGGCAACCCTTGTGAACTAGGTTATGGAGTCTCTGATATGGTGTTGCTGTTCTATGGCTCTGTGTGGGGGAGGGCTCAGAAAGGGGACAATACCACTGCCTGGCTTCAGTCCATTGTGGGCCCTTTAAGAGGAGAAGCTTGAGAATCCTGCAGTTTCCTTCATCACCCAACCCCCACTATTTTTTACAGCCAGAAGTTATGGGGACTTATCTTCCTGGCACTGGAACCATGGGCTGAGTGTTCTGGTGTGGGGCTGGGAACCCTCGTTCCTGACGTATCCCTCCTGATTTTTATCCATCACATGTGGGTGTGGCACCACCTGCTCTGTGTCTCTGTCCTCTCCACCCATCTGAAAGCATGTGACCTCTTTAATTCCTTGGTTGTTGAACTCCTTTACAGCTCAATATTCTGACGATTATGGGTGATAGTTGTTTTTGTAGTTTAGTTGTAATTTTTGCTGTGGTTGTGTGAGGAGGGGAGCTGTGTTTACCTACGCCTCCACCTTGACTGGAAATCCTGAAGACTTTTTTCTTCCTTTTAGAAAGAAAGGAAGGGAGAGAGAGAAACATTGATTGGATACAGAAGCACCAATTGGTTCCTTCTCATACACACCTGAACCAGGGATCGCATGCCCCTGGACTGCGGATATACCCGCAACCTAAGTATGTACCCTGACTGGGAGTCAAATCTGAAAACTTTTGGTTACCAGATAACGCTCCAAACAACTGAGCCACATTGGCTTGAGCTTAAATGCTTTAGCTTGTTTAAAAACATATCACTTCTGCTCATAGCCTAGAGCTAGTGGCCAGAACCAGTCGTATGGCCCCAACCTAATTGCCAGGGGACAGGGATATGTGGAGGATGTTCAGTGAACAGCGAGCTGCCCTGCCACACTTCTCAAGCTGGCATAGTTAAAAAGGGGGGTGTCGGAAGGAGACCAGGGCATTTTATGGGTCTCAGTAAGGGGAGTGCATCTGAACCCCCAAGGGAATTGAAATAAGGTATTGGGAAGTCAGGAACTATGGCCAGGCTCTTAAATTTTTCAGGGTTCCATGTAAGATTCTCTCCCCCAGCAAAGTCAGCAAGTTGGCTTTTTCTTTTATCTTTTATGACAGACTTTGCTTTCTAAATAAAATTGGAATAACAATAGTACTTGTCTCATGGCATTGTTATAAGGACTTAATGAGTTTATTTATGTAAGTGCTTAGGAAGTATCCAGCATATGGGAAGTGCTAGATAAGAATTAGTTATAGTTATTTTGAATAATAATAATTTTTATTATTCTCCCTGAATATGCGAGAACATGGAACCCCAAGCTTAATCTTCTAAGACTCCCTAGTTGCACCTCAGGAGGGAATGCCTAAGCAGTTAATTGTTTTGGCAGGGATATTTGAATACGAAGCTGAGTCAGGGGTTCTCCCCTTCCCTGGGGTTGAGGAAGGGGTACTGGCCAGGGAGGCATCCCAGAACTCTATTACAGCCTTGGTTTTTATAAAGTCCCAGCACTCAGAGCCTTCCAAAGGGAAACCTGGGGCTGCAGTGCAGAGTTCTTGGAGTGACTCCTAAGAAAGGCCATGCACCTCACCTCACCCAGATGGGTGATGCAGAACCCAAGAAATAAAGCTCGAGTCAGGAACAAATTCATGATCACAACCTTGTCTGCCAGTAAGACAGCACATGGGCTCTGTACTCTCCTGGTGGGACATCAGATTCTGGAGCTGAGTGGCCTCCCATCATCTGCCCCGCACCCCCGCCACTCTGCCTTTCATTTTCCTTGGCTTGGTCCCCACTTCATTCTCTCTGATGGGGAGGCTGCTCTGGCTCTGCATCCATCCTGAGGTGTTTGACTAGGCCCCATACAGAATTGTTCAAGCAGACCCTCACTTCCCTCTTGGTCCTAAAATTATATGCCTCTTGAACTGAATATCACTTTCCGTTAACTTTACATGAACTCTGAGATATAGGATCACTATCCTCATCTTAGAAGTGAGAAAACTAATACTCAGAGAGACCAAGAAACTTGCCCAAAGTCATGGGGCCTGGCGGGGCAGGTCCCATTGACTTTGCACCATACCGAATTGCAAGTTGAGTGTGGGGTTTCTCTGGTACCACAGCATGGGAGGGACGACCTGACTATACAAAGGAGGATGAGTCTTGTCATCACAAATGTCAGCTTCTCTCTGCCTTCCATGCTCATCCCTTGCCTGGTCTGACTTACATACTATTTTCAGGGGTCCGGCCATGTGGCCTCTTCACAGGCCTGGGTGGGACAGTCTGATTTGATGATGTCTAAATGACAGGAAAATTAGATCATCCTGGGAAGGAGCTGAGGTGGTTTTAAGAGGGAAATCGATGTCATGGTCTTATAAGCTCTTTGGGGATGGCACTAATGAAGGGGAGGAAGGTCACTGGCAGAGCAAGGATCAGGAAACGCAAAACTGGTTCTTCTTATATTTGTGGCGATGGATGTTAACTAGACTTACTGTAGTGATCATTGTGCAATATATACATATATTGAATCATTATGTTGTACATCTGAAACTAATATAATGTTATATATCAATCATATCAATAAAAAATCTGGCTTTCCTTTGAAGAGGGAAAAAAAACTGCCTTCTAGGAAAAAAAAGAGCTATTTTCTTTAAGAAGCCACATTCATTTTTCAGAGGTACTTGGACTTTTTTAGTGCTAAGGTAATAATACTTTAGGGTCTTCAGAAACTGTTATGTAACAGCTTCTCCCTAAAGGCTGAATTACAGACCCTTCAGAAAACTTCCTTGTAGAGCAGGCTCCACTGAAGGACTCAACACTCTCTTTCCACGGGAGGAACATTCTGAGTTTCAGAGGCCCACGCTGACCTCATTTCCATCTGTGCCAGGACGGAGCTCAGGAACTCCAAAGCTCTTTCCACAAGAACTTCCCCATGACTTGTCATGTCATCCAGTGGGGCACACACCAGCCCCACTTCTGCAGGGGAGGGAAGTAGCTTCCAATAAAGGTTGTGGCTTCTCAGGGGTATAAATTCTCTCAAAAGGCACAGGGCAGGAGTCCTTCCTTGGAAAACCAAACTAGGAATAAAAACACCTGATTTGTACACTTCCGCAGAGACGTGGCCCAGGATAGGCTCCACTGTTGAGAGGCCTTCCCCTAGGGTGATGGCCTTTGATCACTGACAGGTACCTTCTGGCATAACCCCGCTGTCAGACAGAGCTTCCAGAAAAGGGAGGGCAAAATACAGATGGAAATCTATTGTCTCTGAAAAAGCAAGACCAAAGAAAACCAAGCTACTCCCATTAGCACCCAACAAAGCCTTCACAGAGTGCTCCTGGGAGGAGTGAGGCCAAATCCATTACCGAAGGCAAGAACGTCACCCCCTGTGCACCCAGTTCTGTGCCCTCACTCTGTGTCTCAGACCCAGTCCTCTGCTTGGGTGATGCTCCAAGCTGCACACACCCTTCTCCCTGAATCAGCTTCTCCCCACTCACCGCCATCGCGGTCTCTGTCTGAGGCCCTTCATCTCAGCTGGGGCTAGGAGGAAAGCATGTGAATGAAGGAATTCAAACCAAGATGTGCATGATGGATAGCCTCTCAGGGGTATTTGTATTTTAAAAGAGAAGCCCCTCTTGCTGAGAGACACCACTCCAAAGACAGACTTCAGATATTTAGGGGCAAGGAGCCAGGCCAGCTGTGTGGAGCTGTATTCCAGCCAAGTGACTGAATGTCTGCTTTCAGGCCGTTTTGTGGAGCTGCTGCAACCTTCCGCCTCTGCAGAGCTCATTCCCATTCCTTCTAGTTTCCACGGAAGGTCATAGAGAGAAAGAGATTTAGTTCAGGCACTACATATTAAATATCAGATCTTTGTACTTAAGCCTGCAATGTATGAATGTGCATATTCCATCAGCCTGGAAAATAGTTGTTCCAAAGCATTGGGGACCTGAAGGACTCATTTCAGACAAAGACCCCTTCATTATCAACTGCAAAATAAGCAGCTGTATTTCCCAGGTCATGTGTCCCTTAACTAAGCCCTGGGCCTTCCTGGATACCCTTTGTCATCTGCCCTTTTTATTTTCTGTGCATAACACCCTGGAACCTGCAAATCTGGGCTTGTTGCACAGACCTTCAGATTTCTTACCAGCCCTATGCTCTGTTGGAACTGCCCCCAGAAGACAAGGCCAAGGCTGGGCAACAGGATGTTTCCCCAGCATTGCCACTGGGTTTTACACCAGGCCTACAAGTGCTCCTTTCTGGGCCAGCATACTCAGGGCCGAATTTCATATGGGCCAGCAAATCTTTCCTAAGAGGAAATGGACCATCTAGTTTTGTTGAGGCTCATTCTATTCCTGGAGGCCAGTGAAGAATTCTTAATTAGTGCTGGATTGAAGAAATGGTCAGTCTCATTACATTGGCATCAGTATTTATTAATATGCATATTGTATTTGAAATTCAAACTTTAATGTCCTGAGTGAATATATATATTTTTCCCCATTGTTTCAATTAATGAGGCTTCGAGTATGGCATTAAGTACACAGAGTACTCTTGGCAAGCTCATTATTTACTTGCCACACTCTGGCTACATTAGGAGACAAACCTGCTTCGGGATGTTCACACAGACATTATTTACTTCCATTTCCAGGTCAAGCTCCAGCTACCATTACTAATGTTTGAGAATTGCATGTAACCTTAATAAATCCTTATATTCTGAAAATCCTCTGGGGTCACATCTCTCATCTTTAGGGTCAGGGTTTGTTGTCAAACACTTTGATTGTTCCTTTAGAGAAAGGGCTGGTGGCTCCAAAACTCCCCCTCTGAAGGCTGGGAGGAGGCAGAAGACTCAGGGAACTTCTGGTGCCTGTTGAGCAGGACGACCACATGCGGTGAGTCCTTAGAGTTGTTGTGTCCCTTGATGAGATTTCTTAGAGCAGAACATGTTGTTCTTGACACCCTGTGGGGCCAAAGCACCTTAAAAGAGTGTTACACTTTGCTCTGAGTGGCCAAATACCACAATCACCACTCAGTTTAAAATTATGTAACCCTGGCATTCCAAAGATGATACGCACAGCCGTGTGAGAACAGATACCAGCTCTGGTGGAAGGGAAAGCCCCAGACAGCATCAAGTCTCAAAAACCCTCAAATCATTCTCAACTTGCGAGGCCTGCCTGGCAAGCATTTCCCCTCTTTGGAGGGGACTTTTGTTTACAGGATCTTACAATTAAAAAAAAAACAACACGACACACATTGTGCATTGTTCAGCTGCAGCTCAAAGGTCAGCTCTCAGCACACAGTAGTTTTCCAATTCCTCATCTTTTTGATCCCACTGTGCAGATGAGCAGATATGGCATTTTATTTTAAGGCGGCGAAGTGTAGAGTAAGAGACAATGGTCAGAAATTATCCATGGAAATATCTTCTTTTCCACTTCTAATGATGATTACATAACTTGCAGAATGCATGCTCAGTCAGTAACAGTTTTTGTTAGGGCAATTGATACAGGTGCCAAGATTCTCTGTGCAATAGGGGCTAACATGTGTGTGGGGTGCTGGAGACAAAAATACACCGAAATGATGTGGTTCTTCTAAGACAACTAGGGACAAAGTCAATTCACTGTGTGAAATATGGGAACATGGAACTGTGGTTATAGATCATTTTGTTCACCTTTTAAAATCCATAGGTGAAGCAATTGAGACCCAGAGTTGATTAGCCCAAGTTTGCACACATAGTAATAGCTGAGCAGCATCTAGAACTTCCTTTCTGTTGCCTATTTCTACCCAGAGTTTGGAAGTTCTCCCCATACAAAATGGCACCTCAGGTGACTTTCCATCACAGGACCTGCAGGACTGTTGTCAGTCAGTCTCAGGGAAAGGGGAGGGGAAGGCAATGGGCAAGAGCTTTATGGTACCTCCCTGACCAGGGATTGGTAGTAAACGAGGCTCTTCATCTAAGTCCTTTATAAAGCCACATGTTACTGGTTCAAGTAATTGTTAAAATGTGCACATTTTATTTCTTAATATGGAAAAGCTAAGTATAATATACTAAATACAAGTGGACATTTGACTATTCCTGAGATGCAATTCTAGAGAAAATTATCCAGCCAGGAGATATCAACTTAGAATTTGTGGAATATCTCACAATTGCAACTGTTAGAAACAAATTAGAAAGAAACGCAGTAAGTGACTATTGCTCTTCTCCCTAGCCTCCTACCTCTCTGCTCTGTTCACTGGGAAATTTAATTTTGGCTGATCTGTCAGGCACAGGAAGGAGTCAGGTGGAGGAAGGGTTATAGGCTCTGCAGCTGACCTTTCAGGAACACTGACAATGCTGTCTACAGAACGCCACTTCTAAAGGGCTTTCAAAGCCCTAGATTTGTTTAGAGAAAAGCTTGCTGGCGTTAATGGATTTCTCCTCCACTGACAGCTCACAGGACAGGGTGTAAAGAATTAAAGGATTCATTCCAAACATGTGATGGGCTCAAGCACTCCCTCTCCAATCCACTTCTCGTGGCTGCTCGAGCTGCCCCTTGTGATGAGGTCATTTGCTGGGGCACACAAGGGTTCCGGGGGGTGCACACACCATGCACTGAGGCATTCACAGCATTCATTCCTCCTGGCTGCTCACGGGTAACAATGAACCTTCTCAGCAGTACAGGGGCTCACCACAGAGACGAGACAGGGTTAGACGCCTTTCAGTGGAACCCCCCTGAGGCACACAATGCATTTATTATAACATCCTGGCCCTCAGAAGGGCCTGGGAACAGCTTGGAGTGGCCCATAATTAAGTGCATTTAATAATAAAAGAACACACTTCTTAGGTATTACAAAACTGAAAATAAAACCCTTATTTTCTCATTCTCAACTCACCTCCCCCATTATCCATTCCTTTTACAAATCAGAAAAGCCAGGAGTTATATGTTTTTTTGTTTGTTTTTAAAATAACAATTGCAAAGGATGTCACACTGGTGGGGAAAGGTAAATTAAATTACTTGAGGATGATTCTTTGCATGTTAAAAAAATGGCTTCTGCTCACTCAGGTAGTTACACATGGGGAAGATTTGTTAAACAGCTGGCCTGTCAATAACTCTTGGGTTGGACTTTTCCAGGCTCTGGGGGCTGTGACCCTCTGGCAGAGGAGCGCCCCTAGGACTTACGCTGCCACTTGGACGGCGATGTGCTGTTTGCTGCTGTGTCCAGGAAGGAGTGGTTAGAAATGTCCCTGCACCAGTGTCCCATGTCCTTGGTCCCCACACTCTCCTTGGAGTGCCTGGACGTGCACAAAGTTTCTGAGTACCGAGGAGGGGAGAGGGCCCTGTGGTCAGCTTACAAGAGAAACTGCACTGGGAGAAAGAAGAAAGAGGTACTAAGAACTTGCTCTCTAGGTTTGCAAGAATAAAGAAGCATGAGAACAGCCAGCACAGTCCAGCTCTGCCCTTGCCTGACAGTGAGCACGGTCTATTTTCTTGATCTTCTCTAAGCCTCAGTCTCCTTATTTGTAAACTGAGTATTTCATTAGTACAATGAATAGTCAATGGTCTAATATCTTGGGAAAGCAACTTAAGTTTTCTGAGCCTCAGTTTCTTTATCTATAAAATGAAGTAAAAAGTACCTATTTTGCATGCCATTGTTGTGAGGATTGAATGAAATGATATATGGAATAATTTAGCATACCTGGTACATAGTAAGTAAATGTTAGCTGTTGTTATATTCTTATTATTATTAATGTAATTATATTTTTAAAGATACTTACTGGATTGCAATTGTTTGCATCGATCCAACATACAGAGCAAGCTCTGGTTAGAAAAACAAGAACATGCCATGCAAACACTTTGGGTAATACTGTATTGGATATCTGATTGCTTTATTTCTTTGACTGCTGATAGGGAGATGGGGTGGTTGAACAAATGGGTGTTATCTTTTTTCATTTCCTCTAATTAATTAAAATAAAGTGGATCTATACAATTTCACAATTATATGAGTGAATAAGGTAACATTACTAACAAGACTAGTTTTTCCAATTTATCATTTTTAATAAGGCACACATACATTGGTGCCCCCAGTGTTCCTGACTTTGCCATCAGTGGTGAAGAGGAACTATTTATTTATTAATTATTATTATTATTTTATCCTCACCCAAGGACATTTTTTCATTGCTTTTGCGGGGGGCGGGGGGAAGAGAGAGAGAGAGACATCGACGTGAGAGAGAAACATTGATTGGTTGCTTTCTCGTATGTACCTCAATGGGGGATTGAACCCATAGCCTGGGTATGTGTCCTGACTGGGAATTGAACCTGCAGCCCATTAGTCTATGGGACGACGTTCCAACCAACTGAACCACGCTGGCCTGAGCAAAAAAACCCTAACTTTTTATTATATGATTGTAGTGAGACTGAGCTCTGATGAAGCACTTGATTTTAAACCAAGTGACATCGAGCCTATTGATAAATAAAGGTCAGCCCAAGATGGGGTGGGAGTAAGGTACACTTTGAAAGAAAAAGAATGAGGCTTGAAAAGAGTATTTTTTAACAGCTAAAGAAATGTCCAGTTATCATGCAGTTCAAACATACTGCCCTGTTTTTACTTTGCTTTAGGTAAATCCATAAGCATTTTGTTATTCTGAACACTGCATTTTGGAAATCACCAGGGAGTAGTGTGACACTTTTGAGAAACACTAGAAGAACAAGAAGAAACAGGAAACTCAAGGCCAGACATTCTTTATCCTTCCACTCCCAGCAGCATAGGGAAAGGGTATTTGCTCTTTATTATTCCAAGAAATTTTAAAAGTCACGTGGGAAAGGAAGCAATCCAAGGATCTTTTGTTTCCTTTTGGTTTTGGCCAAGAAAATGGAATTACTGAGAAAACCTAACATTTTATAAAAAATAATACTGCTGTTAGGACTCTTCAGTGGATTTACTACTGTAACGTCATTGTTGGGCAACGCAGAGTAGGGTGAAAAATAAAAGTAATTATTGGACAGGAACAGGCTGGGTGGGTATGTACAGACTTGTACTGAATGTCAGAATGTGGCATCAGGTGCTTAATTTGCTGGAGTCACTTTTGTTATCTTAGGTGACCAGATGATGTGTGAAGGCAAAAGCTAGGTATTCTCTTTTTTGGAAAAGGTGGTTGTCAAAACACCTTCCTTTAACCCTCAACTTTAATAAAATGCAGGTCAACGTTCTCTAATTATTTGCAAAGCTGTCAGTGGTTGTAGATTTCCACACACAAGCCTCCCTCTGGATACTTTTCTGAATTCTGATTACTGGCCAAATGTAGGAAGAGCCAGGAATGTCAGAATTATCCAGTCATTGCACGGCTTCATTTGACCACGTCTTCTTTTCTTCAGAGTACTCTTCATTCCCATCTTATTGCAAATCCCAGTAATCAGGGCGATGAAGGGCACTTCTTAAATACTGGACAACATGGTAGAGGTAAAGATCTGTTGTAAAATTTGAGGGATGTCCTTGGTATCCATGGCAATGAAAGACCGGCCAGCTGGCAAAGTTCTCTGAAGCCTGCCAGGATGGAAAGGGAAAGAAAATTACCATTGCAAATAGAGGCTCCCCTTCCACCTCATGCCCCTACACACCACAGCATCCAAGTGGTTTCTTAGGAAAGGAAGTTTTTTACTTCCTGATACCTTGCCCCTGCTTGCAATTGAATGTGCTGTCACTAGGCAATGGAAGGTTTGGAAGAAAAACAGGGAGAGCACATTGAAAGCAGTGAACTAAAGGAAAAGTCTTTTCAGTGAGTAAATCAGTGGATTTGAAAAAAATATTTTTTTCTCCCTTTTATTACTGTTATTTTCTGGTATTTTATATTCCCTTGACAGAACAGAGCCCTAGGAACCAATCTGAGATTAGCTCACCTGGGTCCCGTGAATGTATTAGCCTTACACTGTACTTCTAAGTGCTTTTCTGCCTTAGAAAACAAGCCACAAAATATGTTATCCACCCAGGCCCTGGCCGGGTAGCTCAGTCGGGTAGAGCATTGTCCCAATACCCCAAGGTTGTGGGTTTGATCTCTGGGCACATACAAAAATTAACCAATGAATGCATAAATAAGTGGAACAACAAACTGGTATTTCTATCTCTCCCTCCCTTCCTCTCTCTCTAAAAAATGAATTAAAAAATTTTTTAAAAAATGTTGCCCAGGCAACCCCAAGTGTTATCCTCCCTCTCTCCAACCCCCTCTTTCTGCACCACGTCACACAATGTGAAATGCAATCTAATTTATGCAATTGCTGCTTTGATGGCAATGAGGTTATATAGGCTTGTGATAATTTTTTTAAATGCCAATTTATCATTTGGAACAAAGGGCCATTTTTGAAGGCAATAAAAGTGCAAGATACAATTCTATCCAAAAGAACGCCTCCTTTCACTGTGCCAACAAAGTTTGGTTTTCAAATGACATTTAATAGAAGTCAACCATCCTGTGTAGTATCATACATTTGGCATGCCCGGTAGACCAGCTAATTCTGCAACATATCTTTTGCCAGTGGATGTTGGATCATTTCCCTAGGAAACCACAAGGGTATTATTGTGCTTAAGTATTCAAACAGGATCTGTTCACTAGAAAGACAAAATAGCTATTTCAGCTCAACCAGTATTTGCTGAGCTTGCTGCCTGCTTAACATTGGTCTGGTCGTGAAGAAAATCTGGGTAGAAAAGGAATGGTTTGTGTTTCAGGATACTGAAGTTCTAGAAAAGACTAACAGAAAACTGAGGAAAGTGCAAAGTAATAAAACAACTGAAATTACATGATATTAAGTCTATTCTTAACCTTACTCTGCAATCCTGCAGCTCAGAGAAAGGAACAGAAAGAGGAAAAAAATGCCAGCACTTTTGTAACAGGGTGCAGCTAGGGCTGCCCCAAAGCGGGGGTCTGTAACGGGGTCCAGCACTTAGGGTGTCCAAGAAAAAAAGAGAATATTCTTCCACACCCCCTTCACAAGACAGGCTGCCATGGGGGATGGGAGACATGGAACAGGGCCATTGAGAGTTACTTTGCACGTTAATAACAGCAGGACAGCTTCATACCTCATATGCAAAGATGGTTATTTTGCATATCAACAAGGCTAACCAGGAAGGTTTGCATAACTTAAACCCAGGATGTAACTGGGAGGCAGCTTCCCCCGTTACAGCGCAAGCAGGAGAGCTCCGAGGTGGCTCGCTCCCTGCCACGGGGAACAATGCAAAGACCATGGGGGAAGGGAACGGGAGAATGGACTCTTGCTGGTTGGCCATGAGAAGGTGCCATGTGGTTCTGAATTAAGAACTGGAGATCGCGGTGATATAGCGGATGGTGCTGGGAATCACGAGAGGCCTGCCCAGCCAAGCCCCGGACTTCTGTTCTTTTTCTTCTGAAGGACGGTACCCCTGACTGGCCTGACTGGGCAAAGGGGGGAAGGCAGGACTGTGTGTGCTTGTGGGTGTTTTAAAGGGATTTTGAGATTTAATGGTGACATTTAGCCATTACTCGAAACTTGTATAACTTTTGAATAAATAGTTCCTTTCCTTTTCACCAAACTCTGCCATTGAGAGCCATAATTTCTAAGGGTGGTGGGCAAAGAACCTAGGACAGAGGGACCCCGGAGAAGGCGGGGGGCGCTGTTCCGGTAACAGTACTGTTCACCTACCCTGCCCCCAAATGGGTTCATTTTCGGTAACAGGGCACTAAAACATTTCCTAGTCTATGCGGGGCTCTAACCCAAAGTACAGCAGATAAAAGAGATGGAATAATAAAAAGGCATGTGGTCTTTTGAGTTTTAGGCAGGAATTATTTTTTGGTGTGGAGAAGATATACCTTCCCTTCTTACAAGAATTTTAAGCAGATAAAAAGCATGAGCCCTTTCTGTTTGTAATTGAAACAGAGAAAAATGCTAGTGTGTTTAAGTAACTGAAAGGGTTTCCAGATCTTTGCTTTCAGATCATCCACAATGGTATTTATTGACAGATCATAAATTTCTCTGCTGAACATTTAGTATATTCAATATAGCATCTTACTATATACACTTATTTTACATTGTCTCCAAGTGTTTTACCTGTCTTGTCTCCCCAGTAAGGGAGTTATATATCTATCTATTTATCTATATAGAAATATATATATTTTTTATATATATATGTGTATATGTATGTATGTCTATATAAATGTATGTGTATAAATAGACACAAAGTATATATTATTTATATGTTTGCATGTGTCTACATATGTTATATAGACATACACAATCTCCTGCTAGAAAAACAGTGGATATTTGCTACTTTGAGTATGATTTGAACATGAACTGACTATAACTGAACTTGGGACCTAGATGTAAAGTGCAAAACTGTAAGATACTATTTAATTTACTAGTGGACAAGTCAATTTGCTATTTATTTTATTGTTGGTAAGTTTAATATAAACTGAAAATAATTACTTTAAAATGATTATTTTCCTATCCAAACATAAGCTAGACTATCATATCCTCTCAACTAGACTCTTAGCCCCATCAGGGGAGTGACTCAAGTTTCTATTTCCCTCTGTCTTCCCTAACTGCCCATCGAGATGCTAAGCTCATGAAATGGTGTATGTCAGGGACTCAAGCACCTTTATACCTGCCCTTTGCTATATCTGAGGTAACACTTACCTGGTTGCTTGATCACCTAAAGATCCAATAAAAATGGCAAAAGCATTTACTTGAGGGTTGCTCGTCAGGATTTGGGCAAACTTGGCAGGGTGTATTCCATATCGTGACAGGTTTGCATCACTTAGGACGATGACGAAGTACTCATCAGCTTCTTCTTTGACAATATCCCGGATGGCGTGTTCTGTCCCCTCTAACGTGTGGTCCCCACTCATGCAGAACTGAGCGTGGGCATGCATGGTCTGGGGGTAACAGATGTTGCACAAAAACCTTGTGTGAGAAATGCCTTTTTTAACAAACCTCATGACTTTTCTATTGACCATGAGAATGCACAGATACCAATTATTACACATGAATGAGAAGTCTCAGAGTGAGTCTGTTTAACTGGCACCACGGAGTGACTAAAGCACACAGTAATATTTGTATGTGGTTAAGACTTTGTTAGAAACAGGAAATGTTCCCAAACAATCCCATTTGGCATTTAACATTTAAAACTCAAGTAGCCATTGTTTTGCTTTTTCAGTGACTAGAAGATACTTTACCTAAACTGGTAGAAGTTTTCACAATATAGAGGTAGTTGAATGAATTTACCTTCAAAATTTCTAGTCTTTGCTTATTGTCCTTGGGGATTTTGTTAACTGGAACTAGAGGAATGTTGTAGTCATCTCCAGAGTGTCCAGCGATGTCATACTATAGACAAGATAATCAGAGTTAGAAGCTCTGTCAACCACAGAATTGTCATTGGACTTGTAAGCCTCCAACTCTTTGGTCTGTCATTATCCAGAAGTGCTCAACATACGGCCATGGAGAAGTGTGGAGAGATGGATATGTGTTTACCACCAAAAGCAAACAAATTCCTGACTCTTTCAACTTCTGGTCCATCCTCATGTGATCTCTGCTCTCCAGCAGGAGGCAGAAAATGTGACAAGGGGCTCAGGTGCTACCACAAATTCTATTCTTAACTTTAGGGAGAGAATTTTTAAAAAGTACACATACATGTGCACGCATGCACATGTGCATGCATGTACACACCACATACATTGTGGTAGGCAGAATTCTTAAGATTCCTGCCCCCTTGGCTTAGACAGCCTATATAATGCTCTTCCCTTAAGGGGGAAAGGACCTATGAATATTATGGGATATCACTCATTTTACCTTACATGGAAAAAGGAATTCTGAGAATGTAATTAAGGTTACTTATCAGTTGACATCGAGTTGATCAAAAGTGAGGTGATCTAGGTGGGCCTAATCAAATCATATTGGTCCTTTAAAAGCAGAGTTTTTTTTTCCTCTGGCTGACAGTAAAAGAGAAAGGTAGAGAGACTTGAAGCATAAGGGGATTTGACATGTGGGAGTTATCTGTGGCTGAAATAGAGGGGGGCATGCAACAAGGCTGTGAGACTGGTATCTAGGAGCAACCCTGGTTGAGAGCTAGCAAGGAAACAGGTACCTTAGTCCTGCAACCACAGGGAACCAAATTTTCCCAACAATCTAAATGGTCTTGGAAGCAGATTCTTCCCCAGAGCCTTCAGGTAATAACACAGCCTGGCTGACACCTATTTCAGCCTTATGAGACCCTAAGCAGAGAACACAGATGACCCTGTCTGTACTTCTAACCAACTGTTAGTTAATAAATGGGTCTTGATTTCATATGCTATGTTTGTGGTAATTTGTTACACAGCAATGCAATAGAAAACTAAAACATGGGCTTTTTTCCCCCAAACATAAAGTTTTGAGACATAATTTTTAGTTAAAATGGATAACACTGCCCATATGATTTTAACACCTGCTTTTCTACTTCACAGTGTATAACATATATTTTCCAGTTTAGAAAATAGTTAAAAATTTTTCTATCTCACAATGTACACGAGAAAGTCCTGTACGTTGAACAGAGACTAGATTGTTTTACAGAATCTGGGAAAAAGTTTGGGGCCTGAGGAAAACTAAAATTGGGGCAAGGTGGTTCTCTCCAACGGTTGAGTTTGGCACCAAATTCCCTTTTCCCCTCCTATCATCTCGTATCAATTGTAAGAATTTTTGTGCTATTGATGTGAATGTTAAATAGACCTCGGAGTTCTGGGCAATTGAGGCATCTGCAAAAAAAAAATCCTGAGTGTGAGCCTGGAGCAAAATATTTTAGGGAGTACTTGCAGTGCAATGGTTAATAATCACTATTGTCTATTCACCAACTGACCATCAGTCAACAGCTGTCATTTGTACACCTATCATGTGTAACACACTTCTCAAGGGGTTGTGGAAGAATGCAATTGTTTCTTTCTTTTTAACTGGTGAGTTCTTTGAAGATGAACCCATATATTATTCCTCTTTGAATTCCAGTATCCATGAGTGTTCCTGGTCTGTCTATTATACAATTTGCTTTAAGAATGTCCTGAGATCAAGAATGGACTTTTCTGGTCAAGATGGCAGTATAGGTAAACATGGCTTGCTTCCTTGCACAACCACATCAAAATTACAACTAAACTACAGAAAAACCATCATTCAGAACCACCAGAAATTGAGCTGAATGGAAGTCTTACAATTACAAAATTAGAGAAGAAACCACATCAAGACTGGTAGGAGGGATGAAGATGCAAAAAGGGCTAGTCCCACACTTGTGTGGTGGATAAAAATTAGGAGGGATATCTAGGGAGTGAGGGGTCCCAGACCCACACCAAGCTCCCAAGCCAGGGTTCCCATAACTTCTGACAGTAAAAACTAGTGGGGTTTGAGGCTGTGGAAGACAGAAGACAGACAATTCTAGAGTGCAAGGCAGTTCCTCCTAAAGGGCCTGTGAACAAACTTACTCAGACTTACTCCTTCTGGCTTCAGTGCAGCAGCTTGAAAGGCACCAGAGACATAAGGAGAAGAACTGAATTGTCTGGCAGCAGGGTGAGAGCTGGGATATAGCTTTCTCCCAGACAGAAGTGCTGGCAGATGCCATTGTTCCTTTTCTGAGCCCTCCTCCCACAGAGATGGCAGGTGGGTGCCATATCTGAGACTCCATCAACCTGGCTCACATTGTTTGCTCTACCCTGGCGATTCCCTGAGGTCCTGCCCCACCCAAATTTTGGGCTCACCCAAGCTGTTTCCATGGGCTTTTCCCATACATATGGCTTGTCTTGGCTCATGTTTCAGAACTTCCTAAAATCTATCAAACATCAGCATATGGCCTCAGTGAGCTCCGGACCTCTTGCCAAGAGGCCCCAGGATCAGCAATAGCAGCAGGAAGCCTTGGTTCACAGTTTGGCCTCACGTGGGCACTCCCAAGCTCAGGACAAGATAACAATCAGCTACCTGCAGATTGTTTTGTAGCTTATGCCAGGTGGCCGGGGCAGAACTCAAGTGGTGGTTGACCTTGGACATGCCAACAGCAATCAAGGCTCAAGTACAAAAGGAGGGGGTACATAGCCCACATGGTAGGCACACCTCAAGTACCCAGCTTGATTGATAGGGAGACTGTATCATTGGACTCTACAGGACATCTACTACTTTAGGCCACTCTACCATGCATGGAAGATATAGCAGCTCTACCTAATACATAGAAACAAACACAGGGGGGCTACCAAACTGAGGAGACAAAGAAACATGGCCTAAATGAAAGAACAGAACAAAACTTCAGAAAAAGAACTAAACAAAATGGAGAAAAGCGATCTACAGGGAGCAGAGTTCTAAACACTGGTTATAAAGATGCTCAATGAACTTATTGAGGATTTCAATGCCATAAAAAAGATCCAGTCATAAATTAAGGGTATACTAATTGAAATAAAGAACAATTTACAAGGAATAAATAGTAGAGTGGATGAAGCCGAGAGTGAAATCAGTGATCTGGAAATTAAAGAAGCAAAAAACACCTAATCAGAACAGAAAAAAAAAAAAAATTCCACCCCCCGCCCCCCCAAAAAATGAGGATAGTGTAAGGAGACTCTGGGACACCTTCAGGTGTACCAACATTTGCATCATGAGAGTGTGGAAGGAGAAGTAAGAGTAAGAAATTGAAAAACTATTTCAAAAAATAATGACAGAAATTTCCCTAACTTGGTGAAGGAAATAGACATACAATCCATGAAGCACAGAGAGTCCCAAACAAGATAAACCCAAAGATCCATCATAATTAAAATGTCAAAGGTTAAAGACAAAGAGAGAATCTTAAAAGCAGTAAGAGAAAAGTTAGTTACCTACAAGGGAACTCCCAAAAGACTGTCAGCTTATTTCTCAAAAACAACAACAACAACAACAACAACAACAACTTGGCAGGCTACAAGGGATCAGCAAGAAATATTTGAAGTGATGAAAAGCAAGGACCTAAAACCAAGATTCTCTACCCAGCAAAGCTGTAATTTAGAATCAAAGGAATAAAGTGATTCCCAAATGAGAAAAAGATAAAGGAGTTCACCAACAAACCAATATTATACGAAATGTTAGAGAGTCTTCTTTAAGAAGAAGATCAAAAATATGAACAATAAAATGGCAATAAATACATATCTATCAACAATTGAATCTAAAAACCAAAATAAATGAAGAAGCAGAATGGAAACAGAATCATAAGTACAGAGAATGTTTTGATGGTTGGAGATGGGAGGGGATTTGGGGGGTTTAGAAAAAAGGTCAAGGAATTAAAAAGTACTAAATGGTTGTTACAAAATGGTCATGTGGATATGGAGTGTGGTATAGGTAATATAGTAGCCAAAGAACATATATGCATGACTCATGGACAATGGTATGGGGATTGCCTGAGGGAGTGGGGAGCTGAGTAGAGGGGACAAAGTAGGAAAAATTGGGACAAGTGTAATAGTAAACAATAAAATATAATTTTAAAAAAGAATATCTGTAATCAAGTTGGGGCAATAGGAAGATTTCTTTTCCATGTGGGCTACATTCTTTTATAAATAAGCTGTTTGGAAATTGGAATGAATTTCCAAACTTCCCAACCCCAGCAATCATGTGATAAGTGGTCACTGGCCCATGCTAGCTGACAAAAAATAAAACTCGTAATAACTGAAACCATTGTTGCTAAAATGAAAAGTAGAAAAATTCCTATTGAAATAATTTTTATGCAAAAATAGGAAGTCAGAATAGGAAGATGAGTTCTTTTTTAGACATGCTGAAATCATATACTTAGGGAACCATTAGAGAAGAAATCTATTCAATGTAGTCAGATATGTGGCTGTCATCCCGGGCGGGGGAGAGGGTGGTGGCACATGACTGCCACAGGTAAATGCACACAAGGAGAAGAGCAGTGGACCCTGCCACTGAACCTTGCAGGGCATCCTCCTTGCTGGAGTGGGAGGAAGACACAGAGCTGAGTGAAGACTGGAGAGAGTGGTGCCAGAAGCACGATGCAGCCCAGGAAGCCAGTGTGTACGGTTTTGGCACATTGTTGTGCATCTGTGCTGAGTTACACTAACCATGGCTATCAAGAAGAATGGCGGCTAATGACCTCTGGGTATCCGACTCAATGGTAACTTTTGGGCGACAATTTCATGGAAAGGCTTGCGGTGTAAAAAGAGAACTAGAACAGCATCCAGAGGGCTGTTGGGGAGAGGTGTCTGCATTTGAAAGGTGGCAGAGCAGAGGCTGTGCGAAGGCGGTCAGGATCACAGTCAGAGGGTCTCGTTTGGAGAAGGAGGGTGGACGTTCCTTTTTCTGAGACTAAAGGGGAGGCAGAGAAAATAGTAATGGACAGAGATAAA